CACACACAATAGCAGCCCCTCTCGCTCAGTTTTTGCATTTGCGCTCGCTCGCAATGTGATCGTAACATTTCTGCATGTGGGCGCTCAACTCTTTCTGTTAGTGATGCGCGAATCATGAACAAATCGTTCAATACTCGAGAATCACTTTACTGACTCATGAATCATGATTCACAAGCCCAACTGACTCACTGACTCATCCCTGTTGCTGTTAGCAGCAATGTATCTAGCTTATAATTAAAATTGTGGAGAAAAACACAACATCCAGTATCTTAACAAAAAAATTTCTGCTCAAACTCAATTCAGTAAAAAGAATCAAATTTACCATCACTACTTTCTGTACACCGTTATATTTGTGCCACAAAACCAGCCAACCACAGACTTGGATGCAAAAAAATCTGATTGGCTGTTCTGGTCTCCAATGAGCTCGAAATGACGAAATGCAATATCCCAGAATCCATTTCGTCCAAAACTCAAACGAGGCAGTGGCGGAGGAACACAGAGTGGCGGAGTTTGAAATATTACTCTTTCTGGGTCACAAAATAAACTTTTAAGATATTTTCATGCGAGAATGTTTCTGTGTAAACTTCAAATATCTGCTCGATTCATCAAGAAGTCAGATATTTGCAAAAGTGCTCTAATGTTGTTTGAGATGCCTGTTACCCACCAGCTGACCGGGTGGGAACTCGGGTTAAACGCTGATGAAAATGCAGAAAACACAGATCATGAACACTTGTTCAACCAATCACTTTCATTCCACTTTGATCTGCGACAAACTGATGCGTTCATCTCTGTTACAGTGTTGCATTAGACTGCTACAGTATATTTTTTTGTTCTTTATGCTGTAGATGTTCACGTCTCTGGAATAGTTGGCAGTAATAAGGATGAGTTCCTGTAAAATCATATTGATATGACCCGTGACATATTCGTAGATGACAGTTAGATTAGTTTGATGGGTTAACTCAGAGAGCTGAAGATATCGTGGACATGCTGACCTCGCTCCGTGGTGTACAGGGCCATTTAGTCAAAGTCAAAGTCAACTTTATTTGTCAATTCTGCCACATGTACAGGACATACAGAGAATAGAAATTTCGTTACTCTCAAACCCTAGATGAAATAGCAAATGAACATTTAAATATAAGAGAGTGATTAAAAAATGCAAATAAAATAATTAAAAAGTAAAATTTTAAATAAATAAATACAATACAAATTAACAAGAAAGCTATGCAATATACAATATACAGGTAAGGGTAAATGACAGGGTTAGGGTAGGGTTTACCCTCATGATTAATATTCACAATAAAAATATTAGCCGAACATCATGAAGTCTGTATGTGTTTCATAGTGTCGAACAACCTTTGTACAGTTAAAGCCAGCAGTTACTACATGACGGAAACACCAACGTTATCTCTTTTATGCGTTTAATATGCAGGTCACGCTGATTACTGAACAAAAAC